TAACAAGATTGAAGGTTGAAAGTGATGCTATATTGCAGCATGAGCACGAGGGTGATTGTGGTGGAAGACGCGACGTTGAAGAATCGTGCAAAGGCGAAATTTGGGGTCGCTTCGTTCTGCGTGGGCGGATCGAGGAGAACACGGGCGCGCAGGTGGGAAATAGAAATCGGGGGTGGGCTCCTCGAGAGACGGAGTCCGGAGTTGAATGACTTACACGCTCGCACGCAGCGGAGGTCGACGAGGGTGAAGAAGCAAGGTATAAGACGCGAAAAAGATGATATATGAGATATCTCTTGCAATGCGCAGACGTTGTCGAGGTAGAGACAAGTTGCGGGCGTGACTAGAGTGAGGAGAATGATGTAGGAAGAAAAGAAGAATCTAAAGAAGGAAAAGAAGCGGGCTACAAGTACGCGACCTGGGCTGGCGGGAGGGAGTTTAACGGGCAGGTCAGGTCCCGGTAGTACGGTGGGTCACTGAGAGCTGAGAGATACCCGGGCCGCCACCAAGACATGGGCCATGATTCAGTAACTTACAAGTACAGGTACTTGGAGTCAATGCCGTCTTTGCCTTCCATGGCTGGCACATTATTAGGGTCCGATCCAATGCTTTGATGAAGAAGGCGGCTGCAGATACCCGAGGATGAGACTAACACGCTACTAAAAGTGAAAGAAGTGATACATCAATAAGTGTATATATGATATATTACAGCATACAACTTACTTGTGTACTGTCCATTATATTATATGCTTTGTTGGAGTCAACATTCTAAGCGCGTCAAAATGTCTTGTCATGTCCCAGCTTTTTTTTTAGCTTAGCTCCTCATGGATCCGTTCCATCCTCTCCACCTCCAACCCCTGTCGGTCCGCGGCCCTCCTCCTCCTCGTCTAAGATCCATCATTCAACTTTGCCCGCCTATAAAACAAGCCTAACTCAACTTTTTGCCCACGTTCTTGGACTCATTATAATCCTCACGTCACTCTGCACCCAGAAAACATAGATTCGGAAACAAATCATGCAGGTTCGGGAAGTTATATCCAATATAGCTTAATCTTGAAATTCTTCTGGACATACTATAGACTGTCATCTCGGGACGCCAAGTAAGCTTCTGATACAACAATCACTCACGATAATCATCAGCAAAGCGCAGTTCAGAGTCACAGAGCCTCTGAATATGGTACTCTGTCAATGTAGTAAATTTATATCAAGACTGCCTGGAATTAACAGAGCATCATGACATAGAACACGAGCCTCTTCGGTCTCTCCGTCAAACGCGTCGTGTAAGTCATATTGGAATTATATACAACCCTACCACTTCATAAATGCCCCCAAACGAACCCCGGCAGTCAAATGTAATGTACTTAGACCACATGCAATATCTTTTCACTTTTAGCCACTGGAAAAAGACCTATCAAGGCACCGCTAGAGCTGGAGCTACTGCATCCTCCAGGGACATCACCTGGCTTTGTGCTCTACGAAGCTCCACAATTGGGATCGCAAGCTACTTTACACTCGTCTGCCACTGCTTCCGCACGCGCGAGGAGAAAAATCACGATATAATGATGAAACTGCTGCGAATGTGCTCCAAGAAGCCACCTAGACCGATTGTACCCCTGGAAAGATTCAGGGTGTCTGAAGCACAGGCCTGGCAGTGATTATTCCGGCTGCCAAATTACCAATGGAATGATTCGTTTTACTCGGAGAACATCATGAGAGAGTCATTCATTTTAGAAGAGATATGAAATCTATTGGGTATCTAAACATCAACACTTCATGCTGTGAAATACACAACCATATAACCCAACCAGCTTCCAACCACGCCAATCGCAGTATACGAGCTCGTAAACATCAACGGAAGGAATTCATAGCTCTTGCCAAATATGATCTGGTGTAGGAGTGAGCAGTATAAAATGAGTGGGATGCTCACGGCAATGTACAGTGTGCTGAACCGGTCTAGTAGGAAGATCCTGGGCTTGTTGGAAGCAGGGGCAAGACGATCAAACGCCATGAGGAAGACAACAAGCCAGGTGATAGTGTAGATGGTCTTAATAGGAAATTCTGCCGGCGTGAACAGCAGGGGGAAGAGTGATACATGACCGGCAACAGCCAGCGGCCGGAAGGCTCCGAGATGACGTCTGTCTCGGAGAGCAATAAGACTGAAGGGGATGATGACAAGAAGAATGGCCTTCTCATGAACATGCCAGCCAAAGAGAAAAGAGGCATAGCCACATAGGGTGACAGCACCGATGAACGTCTCCCAGGTTGGTTGAGAGAATAGCTTGATCAAAGGTAGGACCTGGAAGAACAGTGTGAGAACGAAACATGTTCTTGGGCTGATTTCAGGCAGAACGGCAAAAGCTGTATCTCCAACTAAGCCACGAGTGACACTCTGCAAGGCGTTCTTATCGACAGCCCAGCCAACGCGTGGAGCAACTATAGAATGTTAGACCAATGGCTGAGGTAGCTGTTCTGAATTAAGGTGCAACTTACTGTGAATCAAGATTCGATCCGCAAAAGAGTAAAGAGCCCAGACATTAGGCGCCCAGTAAGCGTGACATAGGCCGCGAGAGAAAGGGAATAATCTGCTCAGAAGCTGAGGAATCTGATTCATAGCTGCAAATGGTCCAAAAGCAGCTCCAAAGATGGTTCCAATACCCAAACCCAGCTTGATCGAATTCAAGAATCGGATTCGGAAGATGGATTTAGACGACAAGCAATATGCTCGCAGGAGATATACGAAATAAGCCGGCGCCAAGTACAAGTAAATGTGCTTGAAGCATAGGAGGGCAGCAAAGATGAGCCCACTAGTTAGTAGCTCATTCTTGTCGCGAGCAAGGACAAGAGACATGACAAGAATTCCGTACATGAAACCATTGTACTGGAAGTGAATATGGTCGATAATGAGAAGTCCGGGAGAAAGGATGATAGATAGAGCAGCGACCTGAGCAGCGCGACGGGACTTTAGAGGCGCATTGTCGATAAAGGTCTGAAGGGCCCAGACCAGAACAAGCTCTGTGATAATAACAGAAGTTCGTTGAAAGTAGACCGTTTGCCAGCTCTCGTAATCGAGGTTGTAGACTTTGACCATGAGGGGATCAATCAGACGGGCGACGTGTGCGAGGATCCATTCGAAGTAGGCGAAGAAGGGGGGATAATCCAGAGTCCATTCCGAAGTCTTTTCGAAGTACCATTTCTCTAGAGGAAGACTGTTCGTGATAGCGAGCCAATTGCGATGGACTTCAAAGTCGGTCGATTTGCTTTTTGGCGGTGGTGAGCGACACGCGACGGATATGATGGAGAACGACTCACTATGCGGGGAACAGGAGGATTTTGAAGGCGGCAGCCACAAGCGCAGTCTGCGCAAGTGTTGGGTAATGTTCGCTCATGATGCGCGGTCACTATTTGTGTTGTCGCGGAGCTGGGGATGGCCTCATGACCTTGTTTCTGTGGGATTAGTCAAGGTAGATCTTGATACAAGTCATGACGAGAAGGAGATTGGCTCGTGTTCTTTTTTGGACATGAGGTGGTTTGTCCAAGCACATGTCCCCACTAAAACACCCTAGCATCGAGTCGAGTTGACAGCTAAGGGACCGGTACAACAGAGCTTCAAACACTCAGCCCATTTCACCATAAGAGTTGACATAATTTATTGGCCGGTTCTACAGATGATGAATCTAACATTAAAGCAAGACTTTCATACCGTTAAAGTAACCGATCCAAGTCTCGAGATGCACAAGGGTCTTTAAGAACCCTTTTCGACATGTCCAATCTGGGGTCCAGCTATGGAGTTACATACAGGGGTATAGCTTTGACTTTATTCTGGCCATAACGTCCGTCACCCAAAGACTGGCCACCCCCACAGACCGGCCACCCCGACCAAAACACCAAGAACCGGATATCATGATCAATTAACTAATTAT